CCCTTCACGTGGGATGGGCTCTCAAAGTCCCTTCTTGCACCAGGGAAAAATACTAATCCACCACCAGAGGCTCCCTGGAGTGCAGAGGCCTCCTTATTGACATCCATGTTCAGGGGTCTGGATCAGTCTTGTACTGGCCTCCCCGACAGCATCTGGGGTCGATGTGTTCTCCCTTTCTCTTCAATTTTTAAGTATTTTAATGATTTACTTTTATTTTTATGCACATTGGTGTTTTGCCTATATGCATGCCTGTTTGAGGGTGTCAGATATCCTGGGACTGGACAGTTGTGAGGTGCCATGTGGATGCTGGGAATTGAATACAGGTTCTCTAGAAGAACAGTCAGTGCTCTTACCTGCTGAGCCATCTCTTCCCCCCTTTTCATTAAATGTTTTCCTATGTGTGTATCTTGTATATTGAGCATGTTCCCACCCATTCCTCATCAAAGTTTTAAAAGTCTCTGCAGAGACACAAAGATTTTTGGAAACCAAAGTATTATTGGAAATGTCTGACTCCAGAACTTATTCTCAAACAGTATTAACCACATAGTTGTTTATAATAGTTATCATTTTTAATGAATTAGTTTAGAAATACACTGCATGCATTTTTCCCTCTAGCACTTAAGTCTAAACAAACAACAAATAGCTGTACTAAGAGACATGGTAGAACTATGTTATGATTTTGGATATCATCTGAGAATGACATTGTTTGCAACAATTTATGAAAAATTTCCTCACTTCCTCCATGAGGGAACTTCCAATTGGAATACTCACAATACATGCTTTCTGGCCCACTCTTCTATCCCTACAGAAAATGAGACTCCATTCCAGTCATTTCTACTCAGTAAATGAGAAGCTGTCACTCTGCCAACTGCTGTCTTAACTACACAGAAACTCCTAACCGCAGCAGTTTGCTTGGTGAATACACATCCAAAACAGAAGTCCAGCACTTTGAGAAGTGTCTCTCAAATAAAGGATTCTGAAGCATTTTCTCCAATTACCAGGATAATCCATGACAAGGAAATAACTTTCTCTTTGCAGACACACATCACAATCTTAGGCTGTTGTAACTATCCAAACACTGCTGAAATGGTAAGTCTGTCAATTTTTTGGGGGGGCGGGAATGTTCATTAAAAAGAATCCATTTGCTAGAATATCTAAGTTTCACTCATTATTAGGAATCACTCAATATATTCTTCCCCCTTTCTCATATTTTAAAATGTTTTCATTACAAAAATGTAAATAAATAACATCACACGCCAAATTAGGCAGATCCAAAGTCTATACAACATAATGAACTTACACAGTTGGAATTGGCATTTGAAACCTAATCTCATATTTTAATTGGTTTGTACTTCAGACTTAGGGTATTGTAGGTAGGGGCTGTCTACCAGAATTTGTAGGGAAGAGATAGGAATACTTCCTGAGATAGTGAGACATGGATAAAGAGCTGCAAGCTTACTAAAAGTTCTACCTTGAGAGCAGAAGTGCCTAAGAGGTTTGAACCATGAAGGTGCAGGCTATACAATCATTATTTCTCAGTCAAAATGCACTGTAGGGACCTAAGGATGTGTAGAAACAATTCTGGTGTGGAGAGCCAGCTTTTCCATTATGGTTGACATAGCAACCTGATGTAATTATGCTGGCCCTGACAACTTAATAACGGAAACCAGAATTGTGTGGTGAGAACAGAAGGGTCCCCTCTCCAGATGTTTGCATTCACCTAAGGGTATGGGTGCCTTGGGAGGGTGGGGTGAGGGGGGTGAACTTCACTGTAGAGTGAGGAAACACAAACAGGGCATCCTAGAACCTAGCCAGATCTTTCCCGCTGGAGAGCTGCTTTGGAGAGACCCTTGAGATCTTTCTATCCCCAAGGACTATAGTGTTGTGCCCCAAGGTGTCTTTGAACAATTTTCTGTGTAGGCACTGAGCTTTCATGGGAGAAAATGACAGGGATAATTCTCTCTGAGCCCAATTTTCTCCTCTGTGGAAATAGCAATTTAAATAGTAATTAGTAATTAATTACTATGTATGTCCCAGTGGATGTTGAAATACTCAGTGGATTAGAAGGTCTTTTGTACGACTAATTTGCTTTCTGTTTCTGTGATGAAACACTGACCAAAAGCAATCCGAGGGGTTCTGCTAGCCACTTTTATTTCCTTCCTTCTTTCTTTTTTCTTTCTTTTCTTTCTCTCTCTTTCTTCTCTTTATCTCTCTCCCTTCCTCCTTTCTTTTTCTCTTTCCCGCTCTTCCTTCCTTACTTCTTTCTTTGTTTCTTTCCTTCCTTCTTTCTTTCTTTGTTTCTTTTTTTTCTGCCAACTTACCATGAGTTAGTGTCATCTGGAAAGAGGAAATCTCAATTTAGAAGATGCAGCCATCACAATGCCTTTGGCAAGTTTGTGAGACATTTTCTTGATGAATGGTTGATATGGAAGTGTCCAATCCATTGGGGGCCATGGCATCCCTCTGCAGTTGTTCCTAAGGTGTATAACAAACTAAACTTGGCAAGCCAGGGGGGACA